AGAAGACCCAGATCCTAAGTTGAACACCAACCAGCAGCATGATGGAGCAACTATCCAAAACCAGGCTCAGAAGCTGCCTACGGCTGCTTTCAATCTACCCCAAAGAAGTCCGTGCATGTGGATTCCCAGACTCTATACAACCCCAGCCACAACATGCAAAGTCATGCAGGGGAGCAGACTCACGCCTCCTTGGCACAAACTTTGCAGCGCCAGCAGCTGTCAGCACTGTAGGAGCGGCAGTCACGACAAACCAGGTGATTGCAACCCCGGCAGGTGTTGGCTTTGGGGCTGATCCGTCCCAGGCTCTGCTGGCAACGCGCGCAGGTTCGCTCACTGTACCGCTGGCTGCCCCTCTTGGCACCTTTCCTCCGGATGTCCAGCAGCTCATTCTTCAGGCGCCTGTTGGGAGGAAGGGCAGAAAGGGAGAAGAATGAGGGAAAGGGCTGACCTCACAAGGAGAGCAGGTTTGGATCCTCACACAGTTCATCTTATTTGCTCCCATGACCCAGATGCTGGTTGATTCAGCTCAGATGGAAAGAGCCTAAAAATATGGATTTGGAAGAAGATAACAATAGGGGCTTGGACTGTATCATTCAGTTTACAGAAGAGTCAGGCTCTTCTGAAGGAGAAAGATGGGGTAGACCTACTATAGGAGAGTTTCCTGCCCCAAGGACCATCTGCTTCCCACTCAGTCTCCTAAACTGAGAATGGCAACTCAGGAGTCCCTTTTCCCCTCCTTACCAGCCTCAGAGCCTTGGGCAATGATCCAGTGTTGGCCAACTCCTCACCTAATTCTTCTCTCTTCCACTTTCCGCAGTTCCTCATCTCGCTGGAGAACCTGAATGATGAAGTCCCTCTCCACCTCTGAGAGAAAAGACAGGTCTACCGCCTCCATCACCACCTCCAGCTGGAAACCCACTCCTTTCTCTTGCCTGTGGGCTTGACCTCCCAAATCTAGAAGAAAAACAAAGAGTAAAACATGATTAGGAGAGACACAAGTGGTCCATTTAACCCAGGGACATGAGCCACACAAACTGTATTTCTGAAGGCAATTAATCAACTGTACTAGTCAAGGCTGTGCCAAAAACTATCTCGCAAATTCTCAGAAGTTTTCTTTGCTTTTGTTTTCCCATCTAATTCTCTGGAACAGTGTTTTTCAATCTTGGCAACTTTAAGACGTGTGGACTTCAACTCCCAGAATTCCCCAGCCAGCATGCTGGGGACTATCCATGACTACTACTACTACTACTACTACTACTACTATTATTATTCATAGTACTATTAGTTAAAGTAGCATTTCTTAAATTATTTTCATACAATAAAGGTTTGAGGGTCAATGAACAATCTGAAATTTCATAAACCCCTGCTTTAGACATACAGTAAATATGAACATGCATGTTCCCGACTACTTTTTAGCAGATCTTTTCTTTTTATTTTTTATATCTTTTTTCTCCATGCATCATGGATTTGTTACACGGTTACTTGACCATGTTTATCACAGTTCAATAAAAAATATAATTTAAAAATGTATGAATAAAAACAACAGCTGAAAATAAGTAGAAGTCCTTGCTATAAATCACTGCATTGCAAAACACTTCTAGTCTGGGTTCAACCAGCCACGCCCCACCTCTCTTCCATCTCTTCCCTAAGCAGACACTGACTTTTCTATCGCTGCTATTCCTGCTGGGGAGTATTTTGAGGAATTCAAGGCTGTCCACCACCTATTTCAATGAACCTCGTGTTCCCTTTTATCATACCTATCTTTTCTTTCTCAAGAGCCTCGTTTCAATTACATCACCGCTATAACTGAGTTTGCTATGAGCCAATAATAAAGGATAAATCGTTCTACTGTATTTTAATTCATATTTATCTTTTCCATAAACTGCCCAGAGTCATTTTCTAACGAGATGGGCAGCGACACATTTGATATATAAATAAAATTAAATAAATAAATATGATCAAAGTGTGGGAACAAGCAAGGGAAACACCCTTCTGAGAACATTCAGATATAGCACGGATTGTATTATTTGCTGAAAAAATAATTAGACCCAGCCGAAGTCCAAGGGACGTGAAAGATGAAGTTTTAAAAACCAAGAATCCATCAGCCAGATGATCAACAGCTATTTTGGAGAAAAAACTGGGAGCCTGGGAATTCAAAACTAGTAAAGTATTTATGCCCTTGACTATCATTTATAGCGCATGGCATTTGATAAAAGGGCACGGGAGAGATTTGTAACATTAGCAAATTAAGTACAGCAGTTATTCATGCAGTAATATAGAAGGGGGGTCTACAGGAGTGACCAAGTCAAAATAAGGTACTTTCCAATCCAGGAATGTGATTCCAATAATCCACTAACAAACAAACCCCATTTGGCTTAGCCAAGGTTTCAAACCCAGCCGCTACATTCTGCCAACCACGGTGCGTGGCTCCCCATAATGTGTGAACCCTGCTATGGCAGACTAGAATTAGGTTTACTACAAGCCTCTCATTCCAAGCAGACTTAGTGATCCCATCAATGTCTTCCAAGCATTCCTTATTCAAACCAACAACCAACCAACCTTGGTTTTCCTAGCAATCAAATTCCAAGATCTTGCCCAAAGAAAACAGAAATCCAGTTCATCTGCACCGTTTTTGCCTTCGCCCCAGTGCTCCACTTCAATTGCCAAGCCATCTGTCCCTGAGGAGCCAGCTTCAGGCAGAACTCCAAGACTCAGGCCATCAGAAGGAGCATTATGGGCTGTGTGCTAATGGCTGGCAAACAAGTCAAATGCCCAGACCTGCTGGAGCAGTTTACAAAGAGATAACAAGCAGTCAAAATATGAATCAGGGACCCTGCCCACCTCAACCCCAAGTCACTGAGAGGTGGAAAAATGAGGTTTAACCAGCTAGGAGAACTTTCTGCTTCTAGCTGAGTCAAAATTCCTCAAATTTCTCTAGTTGCACCTTCACAAAACTGTGTGTGGAGCCATTACTGGGGGGGGAAAAAAGCTGAAGGTTTAGCATTTGGATGCCCTGCAAGAACTTGAAGTTCATGAACTTGTGTTAGGCTTCAAATGACCTTCACAAAGGAGGGGCACACAGTCAGCTAACCCTGCTCCCTTATGAGCTATACGCATTGAGGCATGCAAAATTACATCTGGGTGACTCTTCTGAGCGCTGCTGACATTTTACTTTCCAAACCAAGATGAGGCTCCGTAGAGAACAACCTATCCTGACCCCAAGTTTGAGAGAAAGTTCTTCAAGGGAAGGAATATAGAATTACTTGGACATTATAAGAGTTGAAAGTATTTCAAGCTCGCTTTCTAAATGTACAGTGTAGCTTGTTTCATGCTCAGGGTCAGCAGATTCACCCTTGAAACAGGATGTTCCACCCATTTTTGCACCTGCAATGGCTCCAGATTAAATGTTTTGCACAGCCCTCAACTGTAAGGTGTTTGTTGTTGTTGTTTTAATTCATTTCTATCCTGCCTTCCTTCTTGTCACCCCCAATAACATTTTATCCCCACCCTACAATTAGGTGGACCATTGACTTAAACCTGGCTGTCCTCAGTCCAAACCCAACCTCTGAGCCACTACACCCCACCACATCACACATGTTCAAACTGATTTGTGCATGTCTTTAGGAGGACTGTATGAGCAAGAAAGGATCCTAGGGAATCAGACCACAGCCTTTTCCCACAGCAGCCCACCATATGATGATATTCTACTGGTGCACATCTCCTATGGCTTTATTGTTTCCCCTATCATGGTTTATTCTGTTTGTGTATGTGTAAAACCACTATGACAAGGAGCCACTGATAGCCTTATCACATCCTTCAAAACAGTCTAAACTGGTGGTCGTCCCCCATTTCCGGCAGGAGCGCATGATCCTTCCTGCTAAGTATAGTGCTAGAAGGCCAGTTCAACTTCTTCTCATCAGCAGCACGGTATGCGGATACCATCAAGTTTCCAAATGGGATTCAGATCACAACAACAACAGGACTGAAACAGGCCATAATCAGGAAGGCAACATGCCAGCCATCAGCACCAAACAGCAGCCTTTCACCCTGTTCTCTACCATAGGAACATTCTTAGATACACAGGCCCAGAGATACTATGAGTTGGACGGCTGAACTGCACATAATGAGAATAGGAAATATAAATTGAAATAATAATAATAACAACAACAAAATCCCCATCAGTCCATTGCCAAAGGCAGCTTTACTTGGAACAGCTTATATCCTGCGACGATACCTTTAACACCATCAAACA